CGGCAGTTTTTTTTTTTTAAATCACCTTTGGAAAGAGCGCAAATATCTTAGGAGCACAGGGTGATTTTGACACACTGAACACACTGTGAAACCACCAGTTTGTCAAAAATGGGCTTTCCTGCACACCTGAAGCCTCCGCAGTGTTCCCACAGTCACAGTCATTAGGGCCACCTCGCCTGTCCTCCCCCACGCTGACCCTCTCCTGACCTCCAACAGCACTGGTTATTTCCGGAGGCGTATTTATGCCTTTTTACTGTTGCCATTTGATCCTCACATTAGCCCTCTGAGCAAGTGTGATGATGATTCCCAAGTGACCGACGATGAAGGGAGAACACGGGGCTGGGACTTAGGGAAAGGCAGGCGAGGGTCCAGCCAGGAGCCCCACAGCTGTGTCACCTTCACCAGCTACTAACTGAGCTGGGACTTACCACCGCAGCCTGGCCACCAGGCCAGTTCAGGGCGACTGCAGGAGTTGAAAACAGGCCCTGACCTCCCCGTGCATGGGGTGGGTGTTCACACACCCCATCTGAGTGTGAGGCTCTGAGCAGGGAAGTGACTTGCCCAAGGTCCACAGCTGCCAAGTGGCAGAGTTAGCTTTGAGTCCAGGGCGGGTTAAGAACCACTATTTTCTTCTCTATTTTTCAGAGGAGAGCAGGGAACTGAGGCCAGGCGGGGCTACATGAGTCATAGTTACCCCCATCCAGCAGGCCCTAGATCTGCACATGGTTGGGGATGAGCTTGAATGAAGTCCCAGAGGGGCCTGTCTCTGTGCACATCAGATGCTGCCCGAACCCTGGATCCTTCAACTTTGTTGTACCCTTTCCAGAAAAATTGGAGTTACCTCTATTTATTTTTATTTAAATTATTATATATGTACTACAGTTGTAAAATACTATGCATATTATTAAATATAGTCTAATAAAAATTTTAAAGGTGTTCTAGAATTAAATATTTAAAAACCATATCTGTCCTTAAGTTATTAAAGAGATACGTCATTTACCCTCATGAAGTTTTATCATTAAAAATTAAGTTCCAAACCCACAGAAAGTACAAAATCAAGCATGAACTTGTGATCATGATGCAAAGCCATCAATTGTTACACAGGTACCACTTTGGTGGAGGCTGTACATTATGGGTT